AAACATGTACAAATCAACAATTAGCAAACCAAATCTTTACATTCATAATACAAAATTACAAATAGTGAAATAGAGTACTAACTACTAACTATTATTGTTCTCTCTTGTTCTCTCTTTTCATAATACAAATATATTGTTCTCTCTTTTCCTAGCTCTTTTGCAGTTTTGCCGGTCTATAATCCACAAATCCCTACACCCTACTAATGCTTTTGTTCTGTTGGAACTTACATTGGTGATTATGGTGAATCGGTGATAGGGAGAACAGGGCAGAAGAGGGCGGGATTCTGGGGCAGAAGACGGCGGGAGAACAGGGCAGAGGACGGCGGGATTCCGGTGCGGGATTCCGGCGGGAGAACAGGGCAGAGGACGGCTGGAGTCGAGTTTTGGACGGGCTGGGAGCGGCGGGGGAGTCGGGGGACGATGCGACGATGGGAGCGGCGGGGAGTCGGGGACGAGCTCGACTGGGAGAGGCGGGAGGGCGGCGGTGCGACGCGACGATGGGAGATGAGTGAGGGCGGCCGGTGAGGGACTGGAGGCGGGGACGAGCTCGACTGCGAGATGAGTGAGGGCGGCGACGTGGCGGGGAGTCGGGGACGAGCTCGACTGCGAGATGAGTGAGGGCGGCGACGCGGCGCTGCGACGGCCGACGGCCGACGAGCTCGACGGGGACGAGGTGACTGGAGGCGGCCGGTGAGGGACTGAGGGTTGGGGCTACTGGCGGCTAGGGTTCAGAAATGGGAGGAGGCTCTCACGATTTTGGTTTTTGGGGATTTAGGATTTTAGGGTTCTTTTGTTTTGATTTTAGGTCAGGGGATCAGGGGAGGGGAGGGAATCCGATGGTCTGGTCTGGGGTCGTCGGTTTGTGCGGTTAATTTGTAGCGGTTGCGGTTTTTAACCGCTAACCGCTACAATTGCCCACTGGTCGAAACTGTCCAACCGCAACCGCAAACCGAAGCTAACCGACGGTTTTCGGTTGGTCAGTAAACCGACGGTTTCGGTTCGGTTTCGGTGGTAACCGAAAAACCGGAGACCGATTAACAGCCCTAATTCCATCTAGTGGGCAGCCCGTTCGCATTCCGAATGGTGATAGCATTCCTGTTAAACTTGTTGGTTCAGTTGAGTTACAACCTGGCTTCACTCTCCCTCGTGTTCTCCATGTTCCTGCCTTCCGCTGTAACCTGATTTCGGTTAGCCGATTGACACGTGATAATCGTGTCGCAGTGATATTTCTTGACGGTTTTTGCGTTCTTCAGGACTTACTCTCCAAGAGGTTGATTGGGAAGGGTGAACTGAAGGATGGCCTCTACTACCTGCGACTGTTTGGCACCAGCCGCACACAAGCTTATTCCGTACAGCAGCAGGGTGTATCCAAGGCTACCTGGCATGCCCGTCTGGGGCATCCCTCTTCCGACAAGCTTTTACATATTAGCCGCACATTATCTCCTTCATTTATTCACAGTTCGGATTTCATTTGTCATTCTTGTTCAAGAGCCAAACAATGTCGTACTCCCTTCCCGTCTAGTACTATTCGGACGACCAGATGTTTTGAATTAATTCATGTTGATCTTTGGGGTGGATATCGAGTTGAATCTCTTAGCGGTGCTCATTATTTTCTGACTATTGTCGACGACTTTTCACGTGGAGTTTGGGTTTATTTACTACGGTTTAAGTCTGAGGCTGGTCGGCACCTATTACAGTTTTGCCGCATGGTGCAATCTCAGTTCGGGGCAGCAGTTAAGCGTATCCAGGCTGATAATGGCCCCGAGTCTAATACTGCACCGCTGCGTAATTATTATGATGCTGCAGGGATCTTGCTCCAGACATCGTGCACCGACACTCCTCAGCAGAACGGGGTGGTGGAACGCAAGCATCGTCACATCCTTGAAACTGCCAGAGCTCTCCGGTTTCAAGCTAGTCTCCCTCTTCGTTTTTGGGGCGAGTGCATACTCACTGTCGTATATCTCATCAATCGTCTTCCCACCACTGCTACTGGTAAGACGCCTTTCGAGTCTTTGTTTGGTAAACCTGCTGGCTATCGTCACCTTCGAGTTTTCGGGTGCTTAGTCTACTACAAAGATACACACGGCCACCTTGACAAGTTCTCTGAGCGCGGCCGTGCTGGGGTTTTTCTCGGATATGCTACTTCTCAGAAGGGTTACCAAATTTATGACCTTGTCACTCGCCGCATGATCACTTCCCGTGATGTGAAATTTCATGAGGATCAATTTCCTTTTCAAGAAACTACCCAGCGGAACCTACATTGGATTCCTAGCCCTTCTTTTCAACTTGATATGGACACAGTACATACTGCCGCTTCTCCTGCCTCACCCCTTCCCGAAACGGCACCGTCCTCACCTCCTCACACAGCCTCCACGTCACCACCAACCGACCAATCCCCTCCCTCCAGCATGCCGCATGTTGACTCATCCACGAGTCCGACGACCTCCCCTGCTCACCCATCGGCGCCCACGCCCACTCCTACTCCACCATGCATTCCATGCACTTCCGATGCCGACGTTATTTCACCTGAACCACCTCTGCCGCGGCGCGGTGAACGAGTTCGGACGAGACCTAAACATCTTGATCTATATCACACCAACCTCCCTGGTGAAAAGGGAAGTACCCATAAATTTGTTACTTACCCATTATCCAATCATGTCTCATATGATGGTTTTACCCTCACGTTTTGTGCTTTTCTTGCAGCAATCACTCAAGATGACGAACCTCGGACGTTTCTTCAAGCCATCAAGGACCCGAGGTGGCGCGCTGTGATGGCCAAAGAAATTCTGGCCCTTGAGACCAATGGTACGTGGGACCTTGTTCATCTACCTCCCGGCAAGCGTGCCATCGCATCCAAGTGGATATACAAGATCAAATACTATCCCGATGGCAGCATAGAACGGTTCAAAGCACGGCTGGTCGCCATGGGATATACACAGATTGAAGGCTTGGAATTCCATGACACCTTCGCCCCGGTCGCAAAGTTAGTTACCGTCCGTTGTCTCATTGTCGTGGTTGTCAGTCGTGGCTGGCATCTTTACCAGCTCGATGTCAACAATGCCTTCCTGCATGGTGACCTCGATGAAGAAGTTTATATGGAAATTCCCCAAAGTTTTCGGCAACCTGGTGACACACGGGTTTGTCGGCTTCGTAAATCTCTTTATGGCCTTAAACAGGCGTCTCGGAATTGGTACCACAAGTTTACTGCAGCCTTGATCGAGTTTGGTTTTCGATCCTCACCTGCAGATGCTGCTTTGTTTATCTACCAGCGGGGGAGTACTTTTGTGACTGCCCTCATCTACGTCGATGATGTGCTACTGGCCGGGAATGATCTCCCTCTCATCTCTCGCGTCAAGCGATTTCTGGATGATCGTTTTAGTATCAAGGACCTCGGAGTCCTACGTTATTTCTTGGGCATTGAGGTTGCCCGTGTCTCTACCGGCGTTGTGCTCAGTCAACGCAAGTATGCTTTAGATCACCTGGAAGATGCTGGTGCTCAGGGTTCTCGCCCTAGTGCTTTCCCGGTCGAGCAGAACCACCAACTCACACGACCGAGTGATGACGATCTACTGCCTGATCCTTCTCAGTATCGACGGCTCGTTGGTCGCCTGCTCTATCTCACCATCACTCGCCCGGATATCACATATGCTGTCAATATCCTCAGCCGATTTGTTCACGCTCCCAGTCAGGCGCACTTGGATGCTGCTCACCGGGTTCTGCGATATCTCAAGTCCAGTCCTGGCCAAGGAATCTTCTTCCCAGCTGATAACCCTCTCCGACTTACTGCTTATTGCGATGCCTACTGGGGCGGTTGTCAGAGTACTCGTCGTTCAACGACCGGTTATTTTGTGTGTCTTGGTGGTGCACCGATCTCTTGGCGCACAAAGCAACAAAAGGTGGTGGCCCGTTCCTCAGCAGAGGCTGAATATCGTGCCATGGCCAGCACTGTTAGTGAAATTGTATGGCTGCGTTGGTTACTCAGCGAGCTCGGTGTTCCTCAAAGTCACCCGACCCCGCTCCACTATGACAATCAAGCGGCTCTGCATATTGCCAATAATCCTGTTTTTCATGAGCGAACTAAACATGTGGAGATGGATTGCCATTTTGTTCGTGAACGGGTTCAACTGGCACACATCGTTCCAGTCAAGTGCAGTCCGAACTTCAACTTGCGGATCTCTTCACCAAAGGCCTCAGTGGCGATCGTTTTCATTTTCTCCTTTCCAAGCTGCACGTTCGTGACCTTCACGCTCCAGCTTGCGGGGGAGTATTGGACCGAAGTCATGCTACTAATAATCAGCACTCGAGCCCACGTCAGGCCCATGCAGTCCATGCACCTATAGGGCCCGTGGCTGCACTTCCTTATTCCTCTTCTCGTGCTAATTCTGTAACCCTAGCTGATTTGGATGTAATAGGGTATAAAACCAAGGCTTGTGTAATCAAGCCGCAAGATCAATAAGAAGAAAAGGGTGTTCTCCCGTGGATGTACGCCTCACACATCGTGAGGAAGAACCACGTAAAATCAAGTCTCAATTTACTTTACTGCACAATTTTACATTTACGCTAGAAGATCGTCGATGAATTGAGTTTTAATTTTATGTATCTTTATCTTGTTTTAGAAAACAGAGAGATGATTCAATACTAATGTGTTAGTATATCGCATTGAAATTCAAATCTAGGCATATTATATAGAAACTCATAGGCAAGTGTAGTACTGAAAACTATCATCGAAATGGACACCAACTGAGGTTTGGGCCATTCGCGTGCGACATGTTCAACCAAATTGGCTTTGTAGTAGATATGACATATTTTCAAGCGCATTAACCAAACAACGTGTTGCTTCGAGGCGAGTGAAGCTCAGTTGAATCCAACCAGTTGTCTAAAGATCAGGTAATGAAGGAGTGAAGCTCTCACAATCTATATAGACCTTAGAAACAAGAAAATTTTGTGGTCAATTAATTTGGTAACGCTTTATCTCCTCTCTTCAAAACTTAGAATTTTCAGCCTCATCACTCACATTGTGTCTCCGCCACTAAAAAAACAACCTATAGAACTGTCTTCCTAAAACCCATTTTCCAAATTAGTAAAACTTTATAAGACCATCTCCCAAATCAGATTGACACCCTGAAAAATCTCTACAATCTTTAGCCCTAATGAAGAGACCAGAAATTACCACTAGGGAAACAAAGAAAAAACAAGTCGAATTCAATCACCTTCAAGGAAGTTGTTATGAAAGTAAACTAGCCAACTCTCAACCTGCGAAAACGTAAACAATGAAATAAACAACACCGGGCTGTCTAGTTTCTATCTATCTACATCACCACCATTTCTGTTTCTTGCCACCTGCAAGAACCACAACAAAACCAAAATGTCCCCTTCCCCAAATCCTCCTCAAAAACCTTGTAACATATCCGGTACAACGAGATATTGACGTGATCATAGCTCAAACTGCATCATCGGATCATCCAACGGCTTATCGACAATTACCAGAATTGAATGAGTCAGGACACCAAGTCGCGCCAGCTGAGTGGCTGCTCTTGCTATCACCACCATAGCTCACTGAAGTCGAAGAAGCATCCGAAGAGTTCGTCGTGCCTTTATCATGCCAAACTTTCAGTATCTGCATCAGGGGAGCATGGAGATCCATCCCCGCGAAGTTCTGAGAAATGTCCTCGGTTGGCTTCCACTTCTCCACAAGTGGTGCAAGAACGTTCACTGCGTGACTCATGTCGGGCCTCTGGCTAGGCTCTCTCGCAGCACAGTGGCCTGCCAGCTCGACGACGATTGCAATGCTCTCGATTGTTTCTTCGGTTTTCTCAAGCGATGGGTCGATGGCGTTCATCATCTTGTCTCGGTCTGATCTGATGTGGTGAAACCAGTCTGGCAGGTACCGGGTTTCCTCAGCACGCTCGTCGTTCAGAGCTGTTAGCCCCGTCAGGAGCTCCATCAGCACCACTCCATAGCTGAACACGTCGGATTTCGTAGTGATCTTTCCAGTCACTGCAACAGCAGAGTGTTAGGTTACTAGGAAAGGGAAGAAAAGATAAGTTACTTGTATATAGAGAACAGTCAAACAATAGCTTGTCATTCAAGTAACATGATCATTTCAAAGTCTTTTTTATCCCATGTTATTTTTCAAAATACATCCTTGTATTCTAAATTTTCATGAACGACCACATCTAGTACGTTTCTTATCTGCTTTCTAGCCTGTCTTAAAAACGTCAGTTCGAATTCATTACTAGTAAGGTCGGATCCATGCTAAGTGAGCACTCCTAGCTAACTCTCATGTCACTTATGTTAGAAGTCCATCTTTGGCCCCTCCACTGTTTCATTAAATTCCAAAATGAGAGATGCTCATAATGAAAGGAGATGTAATATGTAAGAGAAATTCAGGAGCAGAAGCATTTGAAATCCTAAATGTAACCAATTAGATGGAAATTTTCAATCGATGGACCAAATGGAACAACATAGTGCCAAGACATATAGGTGTTTGTTAAAACAGCATAGTTCATGGATTAAAAGTGCCATTAACCCTCTCGAATCATCAGATGATAACTGTTCATCGGTAGAGTAAGTGCGATACTTACCAGCATATTCAGGAGCAAGATATCCAAACGTCCCAGCGAGCTTAGTAGCAACTGAATCATGTCCATTCTGAGCAAGCTTCACCAACCCAAAATCCGAGACCTTAGCACGAAATTCCTCCCCCAGAAGAATGTTGGACGACTTGAGATCTCGATGAATAAATGTCTCCCTAGCCATGCTATGAAGGTACTCCATTCCTCTAGCAACATCAAGGGCAATGCTCAATCTTCTCGTCCAAGAAAGAGGATCCAAGTTAAACTTCTTCCATTGAAAAAGATGTCTACTCAGAGCACCCTGAGACATATACTCATACACAAGTAGCCTCTCGCATCCTTCGATAGCATACCCCAAAAGCGAGACTAAATGGCGATGGCGAGCTTTAGAAAGAACAGCTATCTCAGCTTCGAACTCACCAAGTGCTTGCTGTTGACCACACCAGCCTCCATTCTCTTGACAGCGATCATCGTCCCATCTTCTAGTTGACCTTTATAGACTGTTCCAAATCCTCCGCGGCCAAGCTCATTCTCTGGGTCAAAGTCATTGGTCACTTCTTAAGAACTTGGACCGATAACACCATGCCTCCAGAGTCCATCGTGCGAGAGCCTTCAGTTGTACCACTACTCAATGAAGTGTTGGAAAGTGTCCCAGTATAGTTACTTGCGACTGCAATCTTCAAATTACGTTCGGGGTCATATGGATCCCTAGGGTGAACTACAAACAAGCTCGAGGCCCCTGCTGCTTTCTTCCTCTTCATACAGCTTAAATATATACACAAACCAATCACCAAGAGAATCAATAGTGAACCTGCCACAATGCCCGCTATGATTACCAGTTTGTTGCCTTTAGATCTTTCCTTTGCACGGACAGTTGAGTTGGCTGAAGTTGGCACACTAGAAGACGATGGTGGTGAACTTATAATTGGCTTCCTCCCAGGTGGAGTGGTTTGTGAACTTGGAGGAAGTGGAGTACCACTAGGGGGTGAAAGAGGGTGACCTTGATTGACCAGAAGAGGGTTTCCATCAATGACAAGCTTAACACCATCATGGAATTTGGGCAACGGAGGGCTTAGATTGTTGCCACTAACATCCAGCACTCTTAAGGCCTCCAAACTAGTGAAATTTTCAGGAATCGAACCGGTTATATTGTTTCCTTGTAGATTGACATGAAGCAATGAAGAAAGCTTAGCTAGAGAAGGGCTGAGAGTACCGGTTAGATTCCGTCTAGGCAAGTTGATCACAGAGACTTTCGAGTTAGCATCGCAGTTCAATCCGGGCCATGGCACTCCACATGGATCATTGCCAGACCATTCAGAAGCAATACTCACAGGATAATTCAAATCAGCAACAAAATCTAACAGCACATTGACTTGCTCAGCACATGAGAGCCCTGGTTTAGATTGACAAAATGAATTGGAAGCATAACTGACCTTGCTTGCCTTGAACTTTGGGATTGGACCCATGAAGTGATTGTTGTTCAAGTCCAAGTCATCAAGCTCAAGATCAGCCAATCCTTGAGGAATCACACCAGCTAGCTTGTTTCCATTGAGATTGAGCTTTTTCAACAATACAAGACCTCCAATACTATCAGGAATAGTCCCAGTGAAAGAATTCCCCTGAAGCCAGAGTTCTGTTAATGAAGTCATTTCACCAACAACATCCAATGTACCACTCAACCCCCCTCCCTCCTGGTTATTCAGCCACAGAACCGTCATCGAGGACTGACCGAAATTCGCAGGGATTTCACCTGCCAACTGGTTGTAAGAAAGCCTCAGAGAGTTCAGAAGCGGCAATTTGCCTAGAAAATCAGGCAACGGACCAACCAAGTTGCAGCTGGAAATGGACAGATTGGTTAACTGACTGGAACCTTCCAAGGCAGCCGGGAAAGACCAGCCGGCGGTGTGGTTCAAAGGGTTGTAATCCAACGACAGAACTCGAATGCTGGTTAACCCATCGAAGAAATCAGCAGGGATCGTGTCGAAATGATTGAAATCCAAGAAGGCGTATTGCAACTCGGATAAACCTCTGAAAGTCGGCAGCTTGCCGGTGAAATTGTTCTTCTGGAGGCCCAAGTTGTAGAGCTTGGTGAGCTGGTTGAAATTCTCCGGCAGAGAACCGGCGAGGCTCATGTTCTGGACCTGAATCTGGGTCACCCTCCCGTCGGAACAGAACACGTGGGGCCACAGAGGCGGGCCGCACGGGTCATCGTCGCCTTCCTCCGGCCACCGGAGAAGCTCTGGGTTTTCCAGCCCCTTCTTGAAATCCATCAACACTTCGAAGTCGTTAGGATCCGTAACGGCGTGAACCCATTTCAGGAAACACAGAATCAACACCAACCCAACTCTCAGCCGGCTCACATCCCCACTTTCCGCCATTGCCGACAGTCAAATTCTTTTTCCCCCCCTTTTCTTCCCCCTGGGTTCACAATGTAGCTCGGAATTACAGGAAAAGACTGAAACTTTGGGGCCTGGGCGGCATGAAAAGCGAATCCCAGATGGCGAGACCGGTGTCCAGAGACAGAGTCAGTGAAATTTACACGTAAATGTATACAGAAACTGAAGCGGCGAGCGACGACGGAGAGGAGGAATTTGTGGCCGAAAAAAAAGGAGATGAATTTGGTCCTAAATTTTCAGGGGTTTGGATAGAAGAAGCCGATTATGATTACGAGGGGTTGGATTGATCGAGAGAGGGAGGGAAAAGGGAGAGATTTTCTCGAGAGCTCCATTCTTTTGCATTGATGAGTGTCACTCCTTCTGTTCTTCTCCTTCCTTCCTTCGGCTGCACTCTCTCTGTCCTTCCCTCCTTTCTCTCACTAGTTTAATCGACTGTCTTGTGCTTGATCCTTTTCCTTTTTGTCTGCTTTGGACGAGTTTTCGGTTGGTGGATGAAATGACTGGAGTACCCATCCACCATTTTTAGCACGGTGGGCCACCCTCGGTTCCTTGGATTGCCATTGTTGCCTCATCCTTTGACTCTCTCTTCATGCGCGGTAATGAGTAGTAAGTGACGGTGAACGATTATATTATCTTCTTAATTCTTAATTTCTTCCAAACCGGGTAGACGGTCAATGGGTTAGACCGTCTGCCAAAACGTTTAATTGATTGTTCAGTTTAACGAAAAGTTTATACTTATAATCGATCAAAATAGAAATTTATGTTTTCTATACCATCGCTCCTAAGTCGGCAACCCCCCCCCCCCCCCCAAGTATCTTGATGACAGTGAATATGGGAGCTCGAAAGTGAATTGATTATGGGTATGTATTATTCAATAATTTGTCTATTATTCGATGAACGAGTTTTATGACTTTTGATTTAAGAAACTAAATTAAACGGAAATTCGGGCAGGAAATACGAAGAAGAAGAAAGGGAAAGATGATAAGAATTCTATAAATAATACCATTGGGAAATAAGGGAGCATAATAATAATTTTATAGTTTTGTCAAAATATGTTGTTTTGGTAATATTGTGAATAAGATATTTTTTCCTAATTTGTTTTGTATCTTCTGGTATATTGGTTTGATTCGTTGTTAGTAGTGCGATTCATTCTATTATAACGAACATATTGTGAATAAGATTCATGAATCCAAAAAGGATGAATGGAAATATGCATGCCCATGACCGTTACAACTTACAAATTCCCCAACTATATATTATCGTGGCATTTGGATGATTAGTAGAGAAGAGAGTTTTTCAATTTCTTTAGATTTTGATTCCATAAATCGATTAACGAGCTTTCTGACTTTTATATAGAAAAACTCGAATTAAACGGGAAATCCGGCAGGAAAGAGAAAAGAAGGAGAAGAGGAGAAAATTCTATAAATGATATCATTAGAAAACAAGGGAGAATAATAATTATTTTATATCTTCAAAATATTTTGTTTCTGGTAATATTGCGAATATAAGATTCTTTTCTTGTTTCTTTTGTTTTATTGGATCGATTCGTTGTTAATCGCACGGTTCATTCTATTATATCGAAAAATATTATTAGATACATGAATCCAAAATCCAATAGAATAAATGAAAAGATGCATGTTCATGGTCGTTACAACTTGCATATCCCCTACCATTACCGTAGCACGTGGATGGATTAATGAAGTTGGTTGATTGTTAATAGAGAAGAGAAGCCCTTCAATTTTTTCAGATTAGATTCCAAATTGAAAACCGTATTTATGGTTGATGGGCAAAATTTTATTGCATTTACAATTGTTTGCCAGAAATGAAAGTTAGTTAACTAATGCAGTTCGGTTATACAGCCTACAGTTTGCTTTTTCGCATTGGTTCTGACCCGGTTTACTTTGGTCCAACCCCCAACCACTCCGAAGGTTCCAAAACCAGACCGACATTCTTTGTTGAGTTGGCACACTGGTCAAAATCTTTCTAGCGTGGCAATTGGTGAGTAGGTAGCAACAAACTTCTTATCCACCACAGCAAAAGAGAAGAAAAAGAGGGAGGTGGTAAGAAGGAAAAAAAGAGGATTTCTTCAATGGGTAAACAAGCTTGCACCAAAACCTTAGGGGTCGTTTGGTTTTGGTGATTGTTCGGTTGGGATAGTTACAATACATGCATTGTTCACAATGTATCGTTATTTTGAATTTTTTTGCACAAACAATGCATGCATTGTTAGCTTGATGTGACACAAACTATCATTCAAAATGAGTGATAGTTAAATCTCAAGTTTTTGGTGAGATTGTTTGGTTGAGATTGTTATGTGTTTTTTTCTTCCAATTTTGTCCCTACCTTTTTATGTGTCTTGATTTTTTATATTACAAACAAAGGGTAAAAGTGACATTTTCATCCAAAAAGTAATATAAGGGGTCCTTTGGAAGTTGCGATTGTTTTGTTGAGATTGTCATTATGCATGTATTGTTTACAATGCATCGTTTTTTTTGTTTTTTTTAGCATAAACAATACATGGATTGTTTCTGTGATGTGACAGAAACTATCACTCATTTTGAGTGATTGTTATATCTCAACTTTTAGTTGTGATTGTTGAGATAGTTGAGTTGAGATTGTTTTGTCTCAGCTTTTAGCTGATGCGACATACACAATCACACATACCAAACGTTGTATTCTACAATGCATCAAATTCGACAATACATGTATAATATTATACATGCATTCCCAACAATACATCTATTTAACAATCGCAACTTCCAAACGATCCAAACTACAATACACTGATTTTCTAATGTACATGTATATTATTATGCGTGCATTGATAACAATGCATCTATTTAACTATCACCAAAACCAAACGACCCCTTAATGAATTTCCCCATTCCTAAATTAAAAAATATATGTCGTGGTTTGAAATTTGACTTTCCTACTAACAACCATCTAATCATTGATTTGACTGTCGGGAATGCGTAAGCACCTGCATAAATCCACCGATTCAACAACCAGGTTCAAGAACAATGATCGAATTCAATTTTGACACAAACCCTACAAACAGTGAACTGATGTACTTACCTGCACCGTCTAGTTGCCAACACAAACGTTTTCACTCACCAAAAAATCAGTACATTTACATTACCGTAATAATCTAATAACTGAGAGCGTATTAATACACAATCGAACGATATCAGCTCGTACACACGATCCACCTTGTTAGCACAATAACCCTCTACACCGCGGCAGCCTCATTTTGACTATGAAAGGTGTGTAGGGTTAGTTAGACGGCAGGACTCTGCCGACGATTCCGCGGAATCATTTTTTGTGGACCATATTTTTGGTACCATCTTTCTCTGTACAAGAATCCAAAAGCTATGGCGAGGCCCCAGCAAGAGACTGTGATTAACAGTGCCCATTTTGTTCTTTTGCTGCGAAAACTAAACAAATTAGGGGGCAACAGACAGAGACCCTTTTGGACTTTCTGTGGGACTGGAACCAACAGGGGAAGTTTGATTTTTTCTATTGTAGAATGTGTTAATTCTGTTCTGGGTTATTGGGAGAAAGAATTCCACATTCGATTAATCTAATACAAAAACAGCAATTCCCAAATTCCTAGAAAGGAGAGTTTCTGTTCTGGACTGGTTCACTTCTGCAGCAGATCTCTTTGGGGGAGGAAAAAGAGAGGATCTTTTGACTCCAATTTGATAAGGGCAGGTACGAGAAATTGGGATTTCATACCATGGCTTTCATACCAAGAGAAGTGTATCAATGTCAAATTCTGTCCTAGTGGCGAACAACTAAGTTAGGGGTAACTCTTGATGTATTATCATTTGAATGTTTGATGTTATTCAACATGTTTATGGTAGACCAACAAACTATTTTACGATTAATTTTCTGATACAAAATCGATAACAAATCGTTTATTTTCGTCATATAGGCATCACATCGAGCATTTCGATATGAAGGTACGCATTTGAACGTGAAAGTGTTAGTAGGTACCCAAGCAAAACTATGTAGAAGAAGTGCAACTATACACGCCAATCAGACTTTCATCGACATTCTAGAAACTAAAGTTCAATCGGGTAATGCTTGGATAATATTGGTTGCACACTTCTCTTCTTTATGCACATCTTGTAACGAACAAAAAAATTACGACATTTGATCTTTGTTTATGGTTCGATTTTTTTTTTTTTGTTTTTGTGTACCGCCAGAACATCCACCATCGACAACAGTGACTACCCCTTCGTTACGGATGATCGCGAGAAGCAGTAAATGGTTGGCCACATAGTGAGGTTTATTCCCATGAACAAGGATCACATCCTCGATTTCATAATTATAGGACGAGACGATCAACCACCATACTACACCTTTCTGGTTATGATTCGAGCTTAAAAAAAAGTTTAGAAGATGGAGATTGTGTAAGACTTATGCTACAAGACTTACAATGGTGTGATCGGCTGTTCTTCTCTGTTCTGAACAACCACTCATTGCTTATGATCCAGGCCATAAGCTTTAGAGTCTGACCAGCCTTTCCTCTTTTTTTTCCCCATCAATGATGAGAGTATGCTAATTGTCAATCATGTCTGTAACGAAAACACACCATAAGTTCAACGAGAAAGGAAGCAATCCCTCTTCTTCATCTCGAGGACAGCACCAACGACCAGGTAAAACTAATCAAATGGGTAAAAAAGCTGTCGAGAGCAATCATACTAACAAGTGGCTCAATTAGCAGAGCTAACTTCTCTGTTTTGCTAGCAGTAATATGCTGCTGCCCATCCACTGAAAAAGACCCTCCACTATTCAAGGAGATCAGCACGTTCTTGTGCTACTGATAACTGTAAAAAAGGGGCACTTGATGACAGAGGGACACACATAAAGGAGTGAAGGACCCATCTGCACCAAAGGAAAAAGGAAAGGGAAAATATTCGTGAGCAGAGAAAAGAAAAGTGGCAAAATGTAAAGGGAGACGAAGAACAATCTTCAGCTTCGTTTCTGGTTTTTGTTCTGAGATGCTTTGTTTTTGGGCTGGGAATTCGGTTTCAGTTTTGCTCAAATTAATCATAAAAACGCATAGCTCAAATTAATCATAAAATCTTGTTCAAGTTGGAATGTAATCTTCATTTGACCTATGATTTTAGCGTAAACTAAACCCGAGTTGTAATAAATTAATATATGAAACCAAAATTCACCATGCCCGACCTCATTTACGAGGATCAAATTAATTTCTGACTCATGTAAACAAACTGACAAAACTCGAACTAATTCAGATTCGAGAACCGTAATGCATACCGAGGACCGACGCAATTCTTAATTTTTAAGGGGGATTTTGGTTAACTGAAACCCACAAATTTCAGTTTCTGTTGGACGCTATCATCCATGATCCATGACATTAATAGGCACGTCATAGGATATTTCAATTCCAATCCACAAACAGTAAGACAGTGTGACTTATTGAACAAGAATGAGAAGTGCTCATGAGAATGAACATGAGTTAATCAGTAAAGACAGTGATTAAGAATATTTACACCAAGGAAGATTTTTTTTTTTTTTTCTCATTACCATCGATCATACTTTCCACAACAAAGATGGAGAATAAATGAACAGATTGCCGTGGTGGTCAGGTACATGGGGCATTCATAAGGTTCATATGCCACACAACCACTCCACCTGATAATGCAACAATTGTAAGGTCTTTGTAAAAAAGGCAGCAGAGCCCTTGCATTCATCACAACCCACTGACAGAATGATACATTTCACAAACCATAATAACTATGTATATCTTGAGCTGTTTTTTTTACTGACTAGGGGACCAGTTTTCGTCTACCTATCACTCATCATCATATCTCTTACAAGCCTGCAACTCAGACATTTAGAATTTATGTATCAAGGTTGGATCTGGATGAGAAAGCACCAAACCTCTCACCTCATTGATGGGGTGAAAAACACTTTGCCCTCCTCAGGTGAGAACCGAGCAAGTTGCCTGGAACATGCACAAAACAGCATAGACTGACATAAGATAAGAGCTTAAATGAGGAAAGAACATGGAGATTCGGACAGATAAGTAATGTAGAAACCCTCCTTCCACTATTGCCGCCTACACACATTCTGATGTATCAATATGGCAGGCAAGTATAGATGAGAACTGCCTAATTCATTTCCCAACTAATGGCAAACCAACTCATGTGCACTGCATGATATTCATGTTCTTGAGCACAATGCAGGACTGAAAGAAGCATGAGAACTTCTCTGGAATAACGTGATAAAATGAGCAGCTTACACTTTACTCCGCTGGAGATGCTAATTAACCAAACCTCCTAGTAGAATATACCAACCAACACATCTTATTAGAATGGAATTTGATGGCCAGCAATCGGAAATTTTTCAGATGGCATAGAGATGGTAAAAGAGTTTCCTAGCAAACCAATCTTGGGAGAATGTATGCAGGAGACAATCTTAAAAATATAAACTCACTCGCTTTGGTTACCAGAAAAAGGAGTACTGAACTGTAAAGCTATGCTTCACTGAATTCATGAAAAGATCCATGTCTAAGTAGGCCAACATGCAACCTTTTTTGGAAGTAGAAACACACTGGACATTATTCGCTACAATTATATTTCACAGAAGGTGGCATGAGATGAAAAGCATAGAGAGTGCGCACCTCCTAGTCAACCTTGCTTGAGAAATGGGAAAGTGGCGTTTGTTTGGTACTTTTTGATTGAATTGACAACATTCATAGCAAATGCTTCATCCTCAGGGTAGTACGCAATGGGATCAGATAAAAGTGGTTCTGGAAGGTCGAGCACCCCTTCCAGAGTTGCATGGAGACAATAAGCCGAATAGGTGACGTGATATCCACCTTCTTGAACAATAAGCAGACGCCCACCACAATGTGCATTCGCCAAACCATGAACAATCCGTCCAATCTCTCGATATCCATCCATTGTCAAGCATAGCCTTCCATTGGTGTCAAACTAAAAATCCAAAGCAAATTTGGTTCCAGTTACCGAAAGTTTACACTGCTGAGCAAATTATCCTTACGACACTGTTGTTATAGGAAAACAGAACAAGTAACTGATGGAAATATAATATTCACCTATCATAAACAAATTTAAGCAGACTGAGGTAGGTTGAAGGAAAAGGAAGAAAAAGAATGTTTAAAAAGAGTGGATAATTTGTCTATTCAACTACAGGTTTAATTTCTGAGTTTACGAAGGCAAATTTAAGACTACAACCTTCAAGCCCCAACAACTGAAGAATCTAGAGTTACACACAAAATGATATGCCAGCTTACTGTGGTAGCTCAATTCGAATATCTTACATCACAGTTCCTGGAACATAACTACCTACACCAACTGATCTGGAAGCTAGTGGGTCGTTCTTGCATATATCGAACAGCCTTTCATTGCAATGATCCAATCCATACCAAAAAAAATTAAGCCCATCAATAATAAGCATGAATTAACATTTAAGCAGGCATCAAGCCATTAAAATTTCCAATGTCCATCAGTTTTCCTGTCTTTATGATAAATAATATTATCCAGACAATTTAACCTTCTAATAAGTTTTCAGCAGCAAAGGTTGGGAAGACATGGACAAGATAACCCTAAAAAAGCTTATGCATTCATACCACACATGATATTGAGCACCAATATGACTGATCAGTTTGAAAGCAATCTAGCAATTAAGTTATAAAAATGACCGAACTTACAGCACTTGAATCTTGGCCAATGACGAAAACCAACAAGTCGGGTTCGAACTGGCTAACGGCGGGAGCAACCAGCTCGGTCATAGCATGCAGATACCCCTTATCACCAGTTCCATTCGGCAGAGGAATGTTCATGGTATACCCATGTCCCTCCTCGTCTCCCACCTCATCAACACATCCACTCTGCGGATGAGACGGCCCCCACGAGCCATGATCCATATGCAATGAAATAGTAAGCACTTCATTAGTCCAGTAGAACCCCTCCGCAGTACCATTTCCATAATGAACATCGATGTCGATAACTGCAACACTTCCAAACCCCGAGTCCAATGCTGTCTGAACAGCAATACCAGCATTGTTAAGGAAACAATATCCATCTGCTTGAGTGGTTTGAGCATGATGCCCCGGCGGCCTAACCAGTGCATACGCCACTTTCCCATTTCCATCGAGAATATGCTTCATCGCTGATAGTGTGGTACCAGCTGCGAGGAGAGCAGCTTCCCACGAGCCAGGGTTTAAGAATGTCCCAGCGCAGATCATCTGCTTACCCCCTTCTTTATCTGCTTTGATCAATTGATTTATATATTCTGTAACAAGACATCAAATTTCCGAAGGTTAGGGCTGTACAAAACCATACCAATCAAGATTCTGCTAAACCCTAAGCAAGAACGTTAAACCCTAAATTAGGAGTGCACCTCTGGTATGGAAGCAGAGGAGTTCCTCCAATTGAGCAGCTCTGCCAAGGTGCCATGAGATGTAAGGAGCGATTGGGCCTCGCTTGAGGATCGAGACCATGTTCTTGATCCTGTCGGCGTTCTCCGGGTGCTTTTCCAAGACGTCGAGGAAGCCTGGGTCGTCGGCGGTGTCAAAGACGCCGGTGCCGGCGTCGTGTTTCAGCATTCCTTCGTGCCAGAACACGTCTATGCGGTTGGACGGAGGAGCTGAGGTAACGTCGTCGGCGGCGGCCATGATGGCGATCGGAATGGCAGGAAGTAGAGTGTATCGAAATTCGAAAGTTTTGCAGCCAGAAATGTCTGGATAACGGAAATTCGAACTTGATTTCTGGTCAAACGGCAGCAGTCATTAGTCAAACTCTCTACTGTAATTTTTACTTCTTCATTACGTGGGCGAGGCTGCAACTTGTCGAGTCGATTCAAGCGGCCCGGCCCAATCGGGTCCATTCGAGCAAAGCCTAATTTGATACCTCATGCTCTTTGTCCAATACCAAAATTTCTAATAAATATTTTTTTTTTGGTGGAAAACGGGGTGCTAAGGGCACCCCAACCTTCATTCATTGCTTACTAAACGAGGAGTGAGAACTCCAATACAGTCAAAGTACAACCAATAGTTTAAGAGCGGACAAGGAGCATCCACGAAATGATCTCCATGCGAACGTCCATGTCCAAGAGAAGCGAGGTAGTCAGCGACGACGTCCCCTTCCCGGTACACATGAATAACTTCCACCTGCCAGTTGAGAGCTTGTAGCCGACGCACTTCAGAGACCAGAGCCAAATGAGGGTGCCGCTCCCCTGCGCTTCCAATGAGTTGAATATCAGAGAGGGAGTCGGTTTGGACTTGTACCTGTCGAAATCCCATTTCCCAAGCTGCTTGCAATCCAAAAACAATACCTGCCAACTCTGCCTTGGTAATTGACCCTTCTCCCAAGTTCCTCGAGAAAGCTCTGAGCATACGACCGTCGTCCCTTCTAATAACCCCTCCCGCTGTCGCGTTTCCACTAACCACCGATCCATCTGTATTGAGGCATACCCAACCTGGTAGGGGGGGGGGGCTTCCACGCAATTAGCCGCCGAGTGGTAGCTTGGCTTCCCGCAAAGACCCGCGCAGCCTTTGCCTCCGCCTCCTCAATTTGCTTTTCCTTAGTCACCACTCTGCAGGTTAGTATGTTTGTCAACTCCAGCTCCTTTTCAAACACCAGTTTGTTCCTGTTCTTCCAAAGTTTCCAACATATCACCGCAAACCTGGTTGGTGTCACATTCAAGCTGCGGCCAACAAGATAGTGTAAGATCCATCTGCTCAAGTCATTTTGGAAGAAAGTTTCATCGGGCTCCTCCTGTAAAAACTCCCGCCAGGCAGCACGAGCATAGGGGCAATCACTTATGACGTGCTTGGTCGTATCCTCATCTCCTCCGCAAATTTGACAGGTGGCCACGGTGGTTAAGTGCCTCCGTCGCCTTTCACAATTGGTGAGCAACCTCTGGTGCGCTACTAGCCAAAAGAAAGCTCTAATCCGCTGCATTGCTGGGATCCGCCATAGCATCCTCCACGTTGGATGCGAACCGCCGGGATTCTCCCCCACCTCTGTCAAAGTATATGCCGACTTCAACGAAAAACACCCATCTGGAGTAAGACGCCATACTGCCACATCCGCATCTTCTTCATATGGGACTGGGTGGAGCTGGATGAGGCTGACTATCTCCTCCTGCAAAAACGCACGTAAGTAAGGCAGGTTCCACTGACCATTAAGCACCAGCTCGGCTACCGTCAGTGATAGCGCCTCTTGCGGGAGGTTCATAGCCAAATCGGCTAGTACCGGACCATCGTGCAACCACCGATCCGTCCAGAAGCGGGTGTTTTTACCGCTCTTTATGTTCCACATGACTGTGTCTAGCAACATGTGCAGGACCCGAAGAACGCCGCGCCATAGGTTTGACAGGCGGCCTTGAGTTCTTGGCTGCCATCCCTCCTCTGTTCGTCGTAGGTACTTCGCCCGAACGACTTTAGCACATAAGCTCTCGGGTTCAGCCATCAACCTCCAAGCTATTTTGAGCATAAAGGCTTCATTCACCCTGGTTGCACAACGAAGCCCGAGACCTCCCTCTTCTTTAGGGCGACAGATAGTTTCCCAATCAATCAGATGAACCTTCCTGCCTACCTCGGAGCTTCCCCATATAAATGTCTGAATTTTCTTATCGATATAGTCCCTCACACTTGCCGGAAGGAAAGTAGTTTGCATGATATATGATGGCAGCGAGGACTGCCTGAGCAAGAGTGATACGTCCTGCCAGAGAGAGAGTCTTGCTTTTCCAACCTGCAAGGCGAGAGTCTATTTTATCAATAAGATCAATAAAGGTAGCATGCGACACCCCATCATGTATAACTGGAACGCCAAGATAACGACCCAGGTTCTTCGTTTCCGGGATCCCCAATGTCGAGGATATTTCCGGTCTCATAAATAAAATAATTTATTTAAATTATATTTAAATTAGTAATTAGGTGGCAGTAGGTAGTGGATCGCATAAATCCAACAAGGTGGTTGATAACGAAGAAGAGGAAATAGAAGTAAAGTAAGCAATGAGGGTTCAATAATGATCTTAATACATGTTATAACATTCATATTCTTTAATAGTTTTTGTGGTTAAAATAGTGAACTAGTTGCGCCAGGGTGGTTCATCTGATTCCATACCAACATAAAAAAATTGTTATGATCATTCGTGACCATCCAATCAAATGGATCCAATCGTTATTGTAGCTAGTTTTCAGAGTTCTATTGGTTCACCTGATTCAGTTCTTATAACGAAGGTATTTTTTCCTTACACTTGGAGTTACCTTATTTTAAGAATTAGCTTATTTCTTGGTTTTGGTCTTGATTTGAGGCACTTGGAGTTACCCTTTGGAGTTTGTTCTTTTTTAATTATGTTCTTAATTATGCATATCTTAAATATTGGTTGACGGTTTTGGACTATGTTGCAATGGATTGACGAGAGATTATTTATTGTCGACGAGAACTTTGGAAGTATGGTTAGACTTTTTGGTGAAGGTGTTATATATATCTTCTCAATCTCGTTATATATATCTCAAGTATAGTGAAAACTTATCTCTACTACTCGTGAATTAGCTGCACGTACATTATGTTATAAATCATCACGTACATTACATTATGTTAGTGAAACTGGTCTCTCCTGCTTTGTCTTCTTCCATATTTTGAATATTTTACCGGATTATTGTAATCGGTGCATCCACTGGATTGAATTTGGATTTAGAGAAATCCAATACGACGCATTCCATCCCCTATGATTCTGTGGCTACGTGCTCAAGAATTTCATTTGTTCATCTACTTTATTCGTCACCAAAGAACTCTGAATTTTATGCACAAGATGCAGAGACACACCCATACACCTTCAAATCAACCAATCATGCCCCACCGCTAGACACCGGGAGAGCCGCCGCAGGCGGCGGACTCGGTTGCTCCGGCGAGACGGCAGAGTCCGCGCTCTTGAAATGAGCCTTGGAAGACAACTCAACAACGGCATCAGCAATTCTCTCTGTAGTCTCAGCGATCTCCAACAGAACGGCAGCAAGCGCCGCAATTGGCACCAACTCGACAAAACGTTGTCGTTCCCATTTGTTTGTGTCCAGTACCAGCTTAAGATCGTCCGCTGCAGCTCTGGAGCTCGCAACCATGGCGTCCGCAGGCTTTGTCCTCTTCATTTTCCTGGTTGCCAGTGCCAATTCCTTCAGTACTCTGCCGCACTCTGTGCTCAGCTCCCTGCATGCCGCCTCGACTCTGCTTCCCATCTCATCAATCGGCTGCAGAAAAAAAAAAAAAATTGGCTACAAGGATTTAATCTGGTGAGCAAGCTGATTGGAGATGGGTTTGTACTTTGTAGTCGTTTAAGAATTAAGATTGTTACTTGAACATGAGGGTTGAGGTAGCTGCTGCTAAGAGCATCAACTTTGTATGCACATTCTCTGGCGAGTGTCCCTATTTTCAGGTACTGTTTCCATGGATGCTGCAACCTGAAGCGTCCATGTCCTGGCTCCCATCTCGCCAAATTTGCCTACAGGCCAATGTACATGCTGTAACGTACCGGGAAGTCGACAACGCAAAAAATAATAAAGAATACATAGATGTACGTGGTTCATTAGGTGTACTAATTCATGTACAGGTGACTTCTAATCGACGAATAATTTGTCTTCAAATCATCGCAAACAGTACACCCATGCAAAACGAAAGAATCTTCCATAATCATCCAACTTACCATGTTTTCTTCATTGCTTTTGGAAGCAAGCACTGATTTGTGATCTTCACCGAGGGTCTTGGCATTGTTGTTGGATTCTGCATCTCCGAATCCTACGAGGAACTCACCAAGGTTTTCAATGTTGGTGACGACGAGGTTGTGGAGCTCTTCCCCAATCCAAACAGGGTAGACCACGACGCAGACGATCACGGCGGTGCTGCTGCCGACCAAGATGGTTGATAGCCTCTCGTGCGCCATGGTCCACACTTGGCTGTCTCGGTAGCCCGAAACCGACACGAGGGAGAATGTCAATATGAAAATGTTGAATCCATAGTCGTATCTCGCCTTCACCTTGGGGAAGAACCTGGTGAATGTCACCACCGCAGCTGCATGCATTGTTTTATGTCGACATTTGTCATTAGGATTCGAAAACATGACCTTTCGACGGAAAGTTTCGACAAAGAAAAAAAAGTAAGAAACCACTTAGTCACGTACCTATGATGAAAACGAAGGCGGCGATGAGAATGAGCTCTCCGGTTGGGCTGGAGAGACTCGCCAAGTGATGGGCTCCAATGCCGAGCCCACCAGCTACGAATGTCGCCACCATCCTGTTCAATCCTTTCCCCAATGTCGCCCCTGTTTCCCCAAACGAAACAGAGGAAAAACAGAGCAACCCACCAAAAAAAAAAAAAAAGACAAAACCGTGTTTTCAGGTTTGAATTTCGAAACGCCAATCGGAAAGTTTTTGAAAAAGGTGTGAACTTTAATTACCAACGGAGAATTCAAAGACGACGACGACGGTGAGAACAGCCCAAATTGCATTGACGCCGAACCCGTCGTAAAGTGGCTTGAAGTAGTAGAAGAGCGACACCATTGTCAGAGCCAGCCCGACTTTGAAAGAGTGAATCGCTCTCCTGGGATCTTCCTTCCCGAATTCCTTAACCCGCATTGCAATCGCAGCAGCTCCACTGGGTAAATCGAGGATCCAATCGAAACCCCTCTTTCCTGCATGCCCGCCTTCCTCAACCGGAGCTGCCATTTTCTTCTGTTTCTTTCTGTGAACCTCAGCGGGCTTTTGCTCCCAGAAATTGCTTTCCCTTAACGGAGAGAGACAGATATATAGCGGTCAGTGTATTGAAAGAGTACTCCTCTCAACTGCAAAAATTGGAACATTTGGGTACTGACATTTGGAGTTGGTGCAGAGGATTGATGGGAGGCAGGGGAAGTACAGAGGTGGCATTTAGTTCCGTACGATGGTAGCACAGTAGCATCTCCCGCTGCCCACCAGGTCAATCGGCGGAGAGATCACACCTGGCTCGCATGCATATCCATGCAGCACGGCTTTTGGATCTTGCAAGCAATTAATGGAGGATGGAGGAGATTCTGGATCCCCTGCTTATGAATGTAAGCAAAGTAGGTGTCTTGGACGGCACTGCACCAACCTCAACTTACTAAGGCAAGGGTGGTCACTATTACACTATACTGACCTTCCATATAGGACAACTAAAGTAGTCAACGCTCTTTGTTAGTTTTCGATTAAATTCGTGTGTTTCTGTCGGTTTATTTTTCGACGTGGCATCATAATGATAGGCAAAAAAAAAAAAAAATCTAACCTGGTAGCCATCTTCTCGACCGGTCAAAGATTTAACTCACATGATATTAAAGGCGGCGAGTTGTAATGCTTAATAGGATGCCACATGAACGAGTCAACGACAAAAATAAACGAATTTATGGGGAATTGAGGAAGAATACTAATATTCTCCCTATTACTTGGAGTTCAATGCTTTAGTTGGACTATAAAGAAGTTTGATACCTAGTTAAGTCAAACAAGTGTCAAGCGTTTCTTTCGCGTACATAGGAAGTAATAATCACGACTCGCTATAAAAAAAACCAAAATAAGAGGAGTGTTGAAAAATGGATAGTTTGATTAGGACCCCATTTCGCGTACATAGGAAGTAATAATCACGACTCGCTATAAAAAAAACCAAAATAAGAGGAGTGTTGAAAAATGGATAGTTTGATTAGGACCTCAATTTGTGGCAATCCTAATTCTTGATTGACTCTAAGGGCTTGTTTGGAAGTTGGGATTCTCTAAATTGATGTATTTAATCAATGTATGTATTATAATTAGATGTATTGTTTTAATGTATGAATTTGAAAAATACATTGTTTGGAGATTGAATGATTTTGGTGATCCCTCAAAGAATAAGAAAAAAAAAGTAAGCTAACAATACCTCAAACACAATCTCTACTAAAAGGTGAGATTTACAATCATTCATAATGAATGATTCTGGTGGTCCCATCTGCTGTTCAAATACAAGTATTCTGTTTCATTTTAAGACAAAAAAACGACGAATTCTTCTGATTACATGTATTGGTCAAATACATCATCTGAAATCCCAACTTCCAAACAACCCCTAATATTCACATATTACTTGGAGCTCAATCATTTTATCCAAACGAGCCATTGGCCTATAACCAAGTTCAAAAAAAAGCCCAAAAAAATAAAGAGGAAAAACATTCAACAGCTGGACTTCGGCTTTCCCTCGTAAGTCGCAAGTAGTAGGAAAGTAGGAGACTCCTTTCTTTCATCACTCAAGTCTCAGTCGCACCGCGCCATAAACCCTTCACCCCGGCCACCGCCGCCGCTTCCCTCCATCAGAGTCCACAGCAGAGGGGATTACTCTGCCGCTTCCACCGTAACCGTCGTCACTTGGCTATCACTCCTTCGCCTTCTCCGCCGCAGTTACAGTTCTCTCTGTTCTCCGGCGAAATCCTCCGGCTGCCTTTGCTCGCTTCTTCCTCCCCCCACCACCTTCTTCTCCTTCGATTAGCGGAAGGAACTTCGCCGGAGGTAGTATCCCTAATCTAGACTCTCCCCCCGCTTCCTTGTCGCTGTAATTATAATTATTTTTTATGCAGAATAACGAAATCCCCCTTTGTTCCGATTTCATCTTCCTTAAATGGTTTGGTTGAGAAGTTTGGGTAGAGAGGGTTTGCATGTCTGGCTTAATTGAATCTTGAATTATCTTCGTTTAAGAAGTACTACGAGCAAAAGTATGATTCTTTACAGGTTACATTGTGCTGTTCATTGTTTATCCACCAATGGCTGCTACATCGTCTTCCTTATCTTCCTGCTTGTTGAGCGATCATGGAATCGCTGCCGGTGATCCTGCAAAGTGCTATACCGCTAAGCAAGCAGTGTCTGCAAAGTCACTGTCTATGTCATCTAGGCTAAGACATTCCATGGAGGCTAGTAGGCTTTCGTCGACTACTACGAGAGGTCCAGCTCGCTGCTGCAGTGCCGTGGAGACGAAGATCAGTCCTTTGTTCACATTAGGGAAGAAGTTCCATCTCGATGATGTGATCGAGGCGCAGCAATTTGATAGAGATACTCTCAATGCTATATTTGAAGTTGCTAGGGAGATGGAAGAGATTGAGATGAATCCATCTGGAAGCCAAATTCTCAAGGGGTTTATTATGGCTACCCTTTTTTACGAGCCTTCTACTCGTACTCGGCTGTCTTTTGAATGTGCGATGAAGAGGCTCGGCGGGGAAGTTTTGACGACCGAGAATGCCAGAGAGTTTTCTTCGGCTGCCAAGGGGGAGACACTTGAAGGTAACAATTTAACTGTGTGGTTCATCTTTTAACTGAGCTTTTGGTTGCATTGGTGATAACTTATGGCGCGGGAATTTGATATTTCCAGATACGATTCGAACGGTTGAAGGGTATTCGGATATCATTGTGCTGCGTCATTTTGAAAGTGGTGCTACGAGGAGAGCAGCTGCAACAGCTAGCATCCCCGTCATTAATGCAGGGGATGGTCCTGGGCAGCATCCTACCCAGGTATTTTTTTAGTACGTGTGCTTTTGTTGTTCTTTCACATGAAAGAACTTGTCTATGCGACCAATCCATGCGTGTGATTTACTCAGCAGAGACGTGTTTAATAGAATATATAAAGGCCTAAAAGAAAAAGATTGTACAGATACTCAGATATCATGCTGGCCATGATGTTGTCATACTTACTCGATGTATAATTTGACAGAGTGTTGCTTCGCAACTATTCTACTTCAGGTGTACTTAATGGTAGAAAAGTTGATTATATTCCATAGTTGAGGCCTGAGGGTTTGCTTGAAGTTACTATCAAAATCTCTAAACTTCGTACTTGCAAAAATTCCTGCTTGATTAAGTCTGAAGCTTTATCACTACTACACAGGCCCTTTTGGATATTTACACTATTGACAGAGAGATCGGCAAATTGGATGGTATCAAAGTGGCACTTGTGGGAGATCTTGCTAATGGAAGGACAGTTCGATCACTTGCATATTTACTTGCAAAATATAAAGACGTGAAGATCTATTTTGTCTCCCCTGAGGTGGTGAAGATGAAGGTAACAGAACCATTGATGTCACTGAACTTGAAAGTGCTTTTTTATGAATAGGAGAAAGTGATTTGGAAACACTTCACAGTATTAAATAGGTAGAATGATTGATCTCTGGATTTTTGTTGTCTGGACCTGAAAACCCTACTCAGGACGACATAAAGGATTATCTAACATCCGAGGGGGTAGAATGGGAAGAGAGCGCCGACTTAATCGACGTGGCATCCAAATGTGACGTCGTGTATCAAACTCGAATTCAGAAAGAACGCTTTGGAGAGAGAACTGATCTCTATGAAGAAGCTCGTGGGAAGTATATAGTAGACAGTGATGTGCTGGATGTGATGCAGAAGCATGCTGTTGTCATGCACCCTCTCCCACGGCTTGACGAGGTAAATGCAAATGATCTGATTACTGTTGGGAACTTTCTGGTCATGATACAATCTTCGTTTGGAATGTAGATAACTGTTGTCATGTTCCTTAATGCCGACGATGATCTAATCTTCGTTTGGAATGTAGATAACTGTGGATGTCGATTTGGATCCTAGAGCTGCGTATTTCAGACAAGCCAAGAACGGGCTCTATATTCGTATGGCTCTTCTGAAGCTTCTACTGGTTGGCTGGTGAACATTGATTGCCTGTGGTGTCTTACTGAGTCGGATTCCTTGGAAAATTCTGTTGCATTTCGTTTGCCTGATCTGGTTTTGTAGAGGAATTTGATGGAACCAGTAGTTCTTTCAGTTTTGTTCCTTTATTTATAGATAACATCTTGAGTGTTTTAAGGTGAATCAAATTATTGGAACGCTTTAATTCTTCATAGATAACATCTCAAACATTTGGGTCAAAATCGTAGAAGATCATGATTTTGTCTTGTTTTTTTAAGCACAAAAGGGTGGCTTAACATATATTGTTAGCCATGGGAGACTCAATCACCCGATAAATGTATGAAAAAAATCAAACATAACATATCATTCCCAACACAAGTGAGTTATGACAAAGAAGTAAAACGGAATTTGTTGTCTACAATTAACATTGTTTATAAAGCTTGTTTAATTAAAATATTTGTTTTTTTTTAATCTACGTAAACATGAACTATAATATTGTTTCGAAGAGAATGAATCATCACCAAAATGTTAGGTTAGTGCTATCTGCTGACTTCAGTTCCACGTAAACTGAATTAATTAAAGTGAATATTCGATTTCGATCCATGATGATAATGATGGTTAGCATGTTCCACCTTATTAAAAGAGAAAAAGAGAATTAATAAGCAGGAAATTAAGTAAAGTGAACACACAAAAGAAGGGTTACAAGGTGCCCTTGAAAAATAAAATAGTGCCTGATAAGCACAACAAGTCAAAGGCTATAAGAAAGATGGATATGTAAGTGGATCTTTACTATGATAAGTGGGGTGGAATATTCATGAAAAGTTGATGATATGTGCTCTCACATTTACATCATTAAATAAATCAAGAGTTTGAATGCTTATTTATTTCTCACTTTTTCTTCTTTCTATCTGGTTAATATGAACCGCTACTAACGGAGCATTGTAGGATCTCAATTGTTATACGTACAAAATAACTATGAAAGTCAAGCACTTCGTCTCCAGTCTTGGGAGTTCGCATACTAGTCTTTGTTTGTTCTCTTTGAGTTCTGGTTGCTTTGCCCGACTTCTTTTTTGGTTTTCGTTCTCATGTACTTGTCTATGAATTGGTTTTGTTGTATTTTCCCATGTTTTTTTTTTGTTGGTAATGAAGTTCCTCATTCACAAAAAAAAAAAATACTGAAAATCAATATGCATACTTCTTATAGTCAAGAGCACAAATAGAATCATTCAACATATCACCCTCTACGATGCCTACCCTATGAAAACCTTAACAAAATCCCGTTATACTTATCAGTAAGACGTTAAAACTTTTCCTCTCCTTTTCTATCTACTTAATATGTTGATATGAGCTGCAATCCACATGGATTGACATCAACAACTCTAGTGATCTCAATCGTGAAATGCACAAGATAACATGAAACATTGACCTACATATTTCTAATAATCGAGATCACAAATCATGCAACATAATCCAATTTGCCTACCCTATAAGAACCCTAGCACAATCCTTAGCTTCTTGTACCTATCAACAACATGCCAAAACTTTGTCTTCAAACTCTTCTTTATACTTCTTTCATTTTCAGTCCTTATGATCATAGTGGGAAACAACTCAAGCCCCACCACCATGTTGTCTCTTTCCCATGCTTTAATCCCTCTTCATGCACCACTTGCCCTTCTTCTTCTTCTTTTTGCCTTCAAGTTCATTTTCTGTGGTTAGTTTGCACTCTCCACCAGCCCACTTTTTTCCAGTTTAGAGAACTTACTGAATGTCCAAGCAATTTCGCCGACTAGCTAGGGCACTCACTAAAGTACCTAAACAAAGTGTAAGTTTTAGGTTGAGTTTCTCTAAGGACATAAGAGTACTAATATGTATATCTAAACTTTGTATTAGGCACACGAAAGTGATAAAATTAGGTGCCTAAACCCATGGCTGAGACATCCCCATCTCATAATTACTTATTATTAGGGTTTGTTCGAGATAGATGAGAGGGTTCACATTGATATAGGATTATAGGGTAAAAAGTTGGGGTTAACAATTTAAATAGGGTTAACCCATTTAAATCCTATATCCTCTCATATCTTACCAAACTTGTTTCTCATGATCTCCACCATCTTCCCTCTCTACTCTTTCTTTATTGAAAATGTTAAAGCATTACGAATTTTGGTTCTTTTCATCTCAATTTTATCCTCGTCGATTCTATGTAAACGTTGTTTATAAATTAGATCATGATGCATATGAATTTCGTATCCAATTAAACAAGTTAAAGTATCGAACTGGTAATAATCGGGGCATCAAAAGCATTCCAACCTAGTAACGAATTCATAAAAATCCAAGCAACATATTATATGCATATGAATGAACCATAAAATGCATACACTTCTAAATTTTTAATACATGTGAATCGAATATCGAATATATGCTTATGAGATTAGGACTTACATGATATTCAAATTTTTGGAAAATTATCCGGCTATTTGAGTTATTGATACGAGTTTAGTTTAAAGCACATACTTAAACAACCACATAATAAGTAATTTGGTTAAGGTTATGGTCGGTCCAGTACTTCTAGCAAAATGTCAGTAAATCACATCAAACAGTCTGGTAAATTCGACAAGAAACGCTTCATATATTAACCATAAGTTAAGCTTACATATGCAACCATGTAGTGTAATTGTCAAGAGTTGCTATAATCACAATGTGAATGAAAAATGTTCAATCCATCTTAAATTTCACATTTGAATCCTATTCATAGAAAAAACATGCATTTAAATGCCAACTCTGTTAGAAGGTAATTAGCATTAAGTTTTACCAAGTTATTCATCAACACAAGGCATTCTGTTTTTCAACAACTTTTGAAGAGAGAAACAGCCAAAAACATATTGCCTGCCTCAAGCAAACTGCAGAGGAAGTATGAGCTATAGCCTATAGCTCCATCATTTTCGTACACTTAATGGAGACCTCCATTTTGTTATATCATGATTTCACACACGTTTTTATATAGAGAGATTTCTATCATATTCTTGACGAGTTTACTCTATATGTATTGCTATATCCTTTTATAGCTAGTTAACACTATTTTTTCATTTGTTTTTCTATGTTGGACGAACACATACCTTTCCTTAGGGGTGGCTATACGGTCCGGTCCGGTTAAATTGGCCCAAATTGATCCGGTCCAGTCCGGTCTTTTTGAAAATATAAGGACCGAAGATTGGATTGGATACAGTCCGGTCTTGATCCGGTCCGGTTTTGATCCGGTCCGGTCCCGATTCGGTCTTGATTTTACATTGAGATTGTGGGATTTGAGTGGCCTAAAGCCTTAAAGGGTGAGCAGTTGGTTAAGTTTTGTACTAAGTGCAAAGGTTTGTGACCGTTTATGCAAATTACCCTTAAGTTTTGGGTGTTGAGCTCTCTTATCCGGTCTTTATCCGGTTTTTTACCTCAAATCTAAGCCCAAAGATTGGATTGGATTGTTTACTATCCGGTCCCGGTCCGGTCTCGGTCCGGGTTATACGGTCCGGTTTCCGGTTTTTAATCCGGTCCCGGTCCAAATAGCCACCCCTACCTTTCCTAGATCCATAATCCTTGGTACGAATTGACATATAAAACCATCCGCGTTATTGCAAAATGTATCGCGTCTTCTCGTTTTTATAAATTCTTGGTTGAGGTTAAACTGTGCAACCATTTTCCATTCTATATTCATAGTTTAACAATAATCCAATATATCGTATGTTTGTTGGGATAAAACTTTGCTTTTATCAAAATAAAGTGGATGACAATACAACCGGAATTTAATCACCGTCGTTTCTCGATAATACGAAGAAAAATATTCCAGAACAAATATACTGCATCGTTATTTACGTTACAACAGAACCATGTCAAATATCATTGCCATCATGATCCAAAGCCTTTTTATCACATAACTCACCTTTGGACATCAAGCAAATCATGTTCATGTTACTCTATACTATTATTATTCTTCTTGCATCTACAAACCGTCCTCACTCGTCCGACGCTCGATTGTTCATATTAGACTCCTCAACCGTAATGGCAACATGACCTCGCCTGACCAATTTCTCCGGCGACGGAGCACCATCACTCAACCTCTTGAACTCTGCCTTGGAAGCAAGCTCAGCAACAGCATCAGCAATTTTCTCAGTGCAATTCACCACGTCGATCAACAAGGAAGCCACCGTGGCCACCGGCGTCACCTGAAGCAGATCAATGCCTTCCCATATGCCCGATTTCAGCAGTGAATTGAGCCCTTTGGCCGCGGCTTTCGAAGCCTCGATGTGGACATCGGATGCACAGGGCTGGCACATTGCCTTGATTGCTGTCGACATCTCTTTCAGTGCCCTGCCGCATTCTCTGCTCATTTTGGTTCCTGGTTCCTTGATCTTGGCCCTGACTGAAACCGGCGTCTGGATTTCGGCGGTGAGGTAGCGGTTGAGCGCTTCGATCCTGTAGGCGCATTGGCGAGCCAGAGTGCCGATTTGGAGGTAGAGTTTCCATGGATGGCGAAATTGGAACCTTCCGTGGCATGGTTCCCATCTTGCAAAATTGGCCTGAAACCGTGGCATTTTTTTAGTCCAATCACATAGTCCATAGAGTATAATGAGTTGGTGAGTTTGATTCAAATGGAAATTACATACCAAAGATTCTTCAGTGTTCTTGGAGTTGAGAATGCTCCTGTAATCTTGCAGTGTCGAGGCTAAATCCTCTGTTTTGGACTCTTGATCCTGAAAGTACTCATCTCCAAATCCTGTAAAAGCATCCCAAAAGAAAGAAAAGCTTTCATTTTTCTTGCTGAATATGCAAAATCTCTTTCTGGGTCTTGAGCTAAATTTCGTTTAGAGATCGATCGTGTTATACCTTCAAGAAAGTTACCAAGCTTTTCCAAGTTGAGAGCTATGAGGTAGTGAAGATCCTCACCAGCCCAAACAGGAAACAGAGCAATGGAGACGATGACACATACAGATGCGCCAATCATGATCGTCGAAACCCTCTTCTGCGCCACATCCAGTATCTCGTCGTCACGGTAGCCAGAAACCGAAACGAAAGAGAAGGTCAAGATGAAGATCAAGAGTCCATAGTCGTATCTCGCCTTCACCCCTGGAATGAACCTCACAAACGTCGTCACCGCCGCTGGTTCACGTTAAAACACAGCCATTTAATTAGTTCAGAACTTCTTGAGGGGGTCAGTTTTCATTGGGGCATTTTCACAAACAGTTCGTA